TCCGTAGGCAATGATTTTAGGCAGCAAGCTGTTAAAATTGTCTTTTAATTTCTTCCCCTAGATGATGTCTCCCTATCATGGACACAGACATCATCAGATCTATCTGACTTTCCTTAAAAACGAGCGAGTCCCTCCGAGCATGTATGTAATCCTATTTGTCTCACCAGTTCCTGCTGAAGCAGTTAGGTTGTTGCAGACTTCTGCTTTTTCAAGCAATGCCATCACAGGCCATACCAGGCCCGTCTGCACGGATGAAGGCTCGTCGATGCAATACCGACAGCTGGGAGTGTAGTTGCTAAGTCAAAGGGCACAGCCACTGGATTTTCAGGCAAGTACCCCCAGTTGATCTTTGTGGCAATAGTGTAGGAGCGAGTGCCTTTTTCCTCATGTTGGTACTAGAAATCATATTAAAACAATTTTTGCCACTTTAATGGGTAGAAAATTGTCTCTTTTTTGCATTTCTTTGGTTTGCTTGTCGTGCTTGTTGATCATTTGTGTATTTTTATTCTGAAAACTCCCCAATCCTCTGCAAAACATATGGAAATGTTAAAATTCTTTTTTTTAAACAGGTAGAATTTTTAAAATTATTTAATTTTTAAAGTAATAAGCTTCACTCATTGGGAAAATTGTATGCTTTGAAGGTTCTGAATACCTCTCCTTGCTTATGTCAGTAATTGAACCTTACTGTAATAGAGTAAAGAGAAACTGATAATTTGGATGAATTTTTAAAAATGGTTTTGAACCCAGAAAGACAAGTATTACATGTTTTCTTTACTGTGAAAGTTAATATACTGAGAGTATAAAAGTTATATGGCTGCATATCATTTGGCAGGTAGTTTTAAATATTTTTTAAGATTTATTTATTTTTTAAAGATTTATTTATTTATTTGAAAGTCAGAGTTACACAGAGAGAGAAGGAGAGGCAGAGAGAGAGAGAGGGAGAGAGGTCCTCCATCCACTAGTTCATTCCCCAGTTGGCTGCAATGACCGGAGCTGCACCAATCCGAAGCCAGGAGCCATGAGAGCTTCCTCCAGGTCTCCCACGTGGGTGCAGGGGCTCAAGGACTTGGGCCATCTTCTACTGCTTTCCCAGGCCATAGCAGAGAGCTGGATTGGAAGTGGAGCAGCCAGGACTTGAACCAACGCCCAAATGGGATGCCGGCACGGCAGGCGAGGGCTTCACTGATTTATACATTCTGGGTAATAATATACCTTCCCCCAAGTTTTGATCATTGTCATGAGTCCCTCACTTTGTGATACTAATATCTCTGTTTTCAAGAAAAAAATAGCATACAGGAATACATAGGTGATATCTACAGATGAAATGAATGGGACAAAATGTTAAACATTGTTAAAATTTTCAAATTAAAAAGCAATAAAAAATAAAATGCTTTTAAGCTTTGCTTAAAAAACTGAAGCTTTTCTAAATAAAATAAAAACAAATTACAAATTGCAGTCTGAGCTCCCTCTTCCAGTCACAGTGCTAGGCACAGCACATGCTCCACTGTTGAATCTTCTGTAGAATTCTTTGCTGTTGATATGATTTTCACCCTCCCTTTTACAGAGAATTCTCTCCCGTTTTTGTTGAAGAGATCAAACATAAAAATAAAGCAGATGAACATGATTATGGTAACCCTTTCTCAGATCCCAACCAGGACATAGCCTGGCAAAGGAATTTAACTTTTGACTAGGGCAGGCAATCTGAAAAATAATTACAATATTGAAACATCAGGATTTTCAACAAGATGTCAATGACTTCTAGGCAAAGCCCATGAAGAAACCATCGGGAACTGAGCCAATGAGTTTATTCAAGTTGTGAAGAGAGAGAACACACACAATGGGAGAAGCTTTTAGAATGGGATGTTAGAAAGTATTACAGAATTTGAGCTTGTATAAGGTGATTTGGAGAAGGATTCAGGGGAGTGGGGCTTGGCTCTGGATTTGATGTTGGGAAGCAGGTGTATCTCTATGATTGGCTATCTTAATAATTCTTGTCTGTCAAGCAGGAGGAATAAAATGAGGCTAATGAATCAGCAGTCATTAGTAGCAGGGATAGGGAGGTGTTTGGTCATTTTTGTGTCTGTCTTGGACAATATTCAGGTTTTGTCTGTGTTGAGATCTGATTATAGGGAAGTCTTGTCCTCATTCACCATGGTTACAGCAGCTTTGTCTGATGTCAATGTTCTGTGATGCCAATTTCCAGCTCAGAAATCACTTTTCTCAGAGAATTTCAGGACATTATTTAAAACAAAAACTAACCCCCAAACTCCAGCATATAGATTGACCTCTTTGGAGCCCCATCCTTTTCCCCAGCAGGTATAGAGATGGCCTATGACACAGGATTTAGAACGTGGACTCCAATCTGAAGCAGCTGAGGCTGGAATCATGCTCCTGTCCCTCAGTGGCTGTCAGTTATTGGATGGTTAGTTTTATGTGAAAGGATGCTCAGATAGTGGGTAAAACATTATAGATGTGTCTGTGAAGGTATCTCTAGAAGATATTAAAATTTGAATTGGTAGACTAAGTAAGGAAGATCTGCTTTTCCCAATGTGGGCAGGCAAGATTTAATCCATCGAGGGCCCAAATAGAGCAAAATGGCTGAAGAAGTGTAGATCTCTTCTCTGTTGAGCTGGCCATTCATCACCTTCTGTGCTTGCACACTGGTGTTCCTTGTTCTCAGGAATTTAGATTCAGAATAAATTATGCCTCTTGGTTTCCTGGTTCACCAGCTTGGATGGCAACTGGTAAGACTTCTTTATAATTATGTCAACAATGCCTTTTTTTTTTTAACTTTTATTTCAGAATAGTTTTAAATTTACAAAATACAAACTGTGAAATAGTACAGAATTCCCATATACCCCACACCCAGATTCCCCTCTTGTTAATATATTACCATGGTACACTTGTCACAACCAATAAACCACACTCAGCTTCCCCTGTTACTGACACCTCATAGAAGTATGACATATTTGTCACAATTAATGAACCACATCACCTTCCCCTGGTTTTTTTTTTTTTTTTTTTTTTTAATTTAATGACAAAAAAAAAATCTACAACTACAGTTTCTGGAAGAACCACTTGTTTTTGCCATTCTTTTATAAAACACTCTTCAAACTTGATGTTGGTTTCCCTGCAGGCCTTTCATATAAGAGCAGGGTCCCTGAAGACACCTTTGTTGACCACAGTTTTGTCCAAGGGAATACCCACAGAATATTTAGTAGACATGAGGTGATCTTGGTTATAAAGTTTCACAAAAGACTTGATCTTTGACCTTTTAGCAATTTTCTTCATGCTGTGGCAGCTGCACTTTTCAGGGATAGTGGTTAATTCCAGCTGCCGGAGCATGGCGGTCGGGGTGATCTGAGGTGCTGTAATCAGTGTGCTTCATGATGACGGCTTTGTGTTCTGAGTATCACTACTATCCCAGATTTCATGAACTTGTCCATTTCAACATCAACCACTCAGGCCTACAGTAGAACCTTGTTTCATTATTTTTTTTTCCAAGTGCCTCATCTCTCTCAGCCTCTAGTAATCACCATTCTGTTTTCAAACTGAGGATTTCTCCTCTTTTTTTTGTTGTTTGTTTGTTTTTGTTTTTTAGTTCTCATATATAAGGAAGAACATGTGGTATTTGTCTTTCTGTGTCTGGCTTATTATTTTTAAAGATTTATTTACTTATTTGAAAGGCAGAGTTATAGAGAGGCAGAGGCAGAGAGAGAGAGAGATCTATCCACTGGTTCACTCCCCAGATGGCCAAAATGGCCGGGGCTGGGCCAATCTGAAGCCAGAAGCCAGGAGCTTCTTCAGGGTCTCCCACAAGGGTGCAGGGTTCTAAGCACTTGGGCCATCTTCTATTGCCTTCCCAGGCCATAGCAGAAAGCTGGATCAAATGTGGAGCAGCCAGGACTCGAACCGGCACCCATACGGGATGCCTGCAACTGCAAGTGGTGGTTTTACCTACTACGCCACAGCACTGGCCCCTCTGGTTTATTTCACCCAACATGATGTGCTCCAGTTTCATCCACTTTGCTGCAAATAGCAGGATTTCATTTTTCTTTTTTTTTCAGTGGCTGACTGGTATTCCATTGTGTATATTTACCACATTACCTTGGCTGATTCCATCTCTTGGCTATTGTGAATGGTGTTGAGATATGTATGGTCGAGCAGGTATCTCCTTGATACAATGAGCTCATGTTTTTTGGGTACATACCCAGGCGTGACATTGCTGGATCCTATGGCACAGTTCCTTTTCTAGTTTTTAAAGAACTCTCCGTCCTGTTTTCCAAAGTGGTTGCCCTGATTTACATTCCCACCAACAGGGCAGAAGAGTTCCTCTTTCTCCACATCCTTGCCAACCTTTGATAACAGCCATTCTGACAGGGGTGAGGTGATATCTCATCGTGGTTTCAATGTGCATTTCCCTGATGGCTAGTGATACTGAGCATTTTTTTCTTATATTTGTTGGTCATTTGTATTTCTTCTTCTTTTTTTTTAAAGACTTATTTATTTATTTGAAAGGCAAATTTAAAGAGAGAGGCAGAGGCACAGAGAGAGAGGTCTTCCATCTGCTTGTTCACTCCCCAGATGGCTGCAATGGCCAGAGCTGCACTGATCCGAAGCCAGGAGCCAGGAGCTTCTTCCGGGTCTCCCACACGGGTGCAGGGACCCAAGGACTTGGGTCATCTTCTACTGCTTTCCCAGGCCATAGCAGAGAGCTGGATTGGAAGTGGAGCAGCCAGGACTTGAACTGACACCCATATGGGGCAGGCTTTACCCACTATGCCACAGCGCTGGCCCCATATTTCATCTTTTGAGAACTTTGTGTTTAGGCCCTTTGACCATTTCTTAATTGGAGTGGTTTTTTGTTGTTGTTGTTACATTTTTTGAGTTCCTGATGTATTCTAGAAATTAATTCTTTGTCAGATAAGTAACTTGTAAATATTTTCTGCCTTTCTGTTGGATGTCTCTTCACTCTGTTGCTTGTTTCCTTTGCTGTGCAGGTCAGCGGGTGCCTATAACACACGCCCTTGTATACACCCCCGCTCGGTTCTGCTTCTCTAGAGAATCCTGACTTAAGCTTGCTGTGCTTCGGTCGCCCACTGACAGCATGGAGAGAAGTAAACAACCTACACTGTTTGGTTAGGGCGCTGATTAAATGGAGTAAATACACAAAAAGCTGTGGGCATGCAGCAGAGCAGTCGCGATCTCTTACTGCCGTTCCCATCAAACGTCCAGTCAATCCTCGGGGGCCTGGGTGATGCGGAGCCTCTGGCATTGCTATTCCTGCTGTGTTCTCCTCTTTCCGGCCCACGCTCCACACTTCTCGCACCCTGGTCTCCTGAGGTCCTTGTCGTCGTGGTACTGTTCACTGACACGTCTCACACTCACCTTCACTTCCTGCGCACGTAGTGTATGTCAGCTGTCGGGCTGGCTAAGACCTGCACAGTTTACTCCGCTCTCCTGCATCTCAGCGACGTCCATCTCCATCGTACCACTTCAGAAGGAACCGAGACGCGACTAGGACCGACTCAGCCCAGTGTGCAAACAGCAGAGCTGAGTTCCAATGCCAAACCATCTCAGTCCAACACCTGTGCCTCCCAGCACTGTCTTTCATATGAACACGCACACTCCTGAGGCCAACACAGAAGGTGGGCAGCGTCCAGCCCCACCCATCAAACCACCAAAGAGCTTTATTAAGGATCTGGCACGTCCGAGTCACGTCTGGAAAGTTCAGAGAAAATTGTGAGGAAAATCCAGTTCAAATCTTTTTTGGGAAGTTAAAAAGTGCGTATGTAAATAAAGCCACGGAAATGGCATCAAGGAAGTGACAGATATGTGCTAGAGTGCCAGAAACGGTCAGAGAAAAGGATGTGGGCAAACATGCATGGGCAGGAGGTGGTCCTCGCCTGAGAGGAGCGGCTGGGACTGCAGGCACGGGCCAGAGGTGGGGGAGGGAGGGAGCTTCCTCATTTAAGACTTGATTTCAGGGCTGGTATTGTGGCACAGTGGGTTAAGCTGCTGCCTGTGATACCGGCATGCCATATGGGTATCGGTTTGAGTCCCAGCTGCTCCACTTCTGATCCAGCTCCCTGCTGATGCGCCTGGAAAAGTAGTAAAGACTGACCCAAGCACTTGAACCCCGGTGGGAGACCCGGATGGAGTTCCAGGCTCCTGGCTTCAGCCTGGCCCTGCCCTGGCCATTGCTGTCATTTGGGGAGTGAAGCAGTGGATGGAAGATCGATCCCTCTCTCTCTCTTTCTCTGTAAGTCTGCCTTTCAAATAAATAAAACTTAAAGAGAGGCTTGCTTCCATAACCTGACCTCTTCTCCATGTCTTTGTCAGTCTTCTCTCAACACCAGGTTCTCCTCCCCTACCTCTGCACTCCTCCACCTGCGCTTGCTGCTTCCTCTCTTTCTGAACTTCCTCCACCCAATCAAGTTTGCAAAAGACCAGATGGCAGGAATCTTGTATTTTCCACCTTTTATTGCTGCTCCACCAACTCCCTGCTTCCTGCCACACACACTGAGCATGTGTCACGTCCTTCTCACCCAAGTCACTCAATACAATGGTCCCCCCCTTACCTGCAGTTTTGTGTTCTGTGAGTTCTGGTACCCACGGTGAACCAAAGGCAGAAGAGTTAAATAGAAAAATCCCAGAAATGTGCAAGTTTTAAATAGCTTTTATTAGAGTATGCTATTATAATTATTCTGTTTTATTATTGTTGTTGTTAATCTCTTCATGTACCTAATTCATCCATTATATTTCAAGAAAAAACAGTGTATATAGGGCTGGGGACCAAGTACAGTTTCAGGCATCCCCTACAGGTAGGGGTCTTGGGATGTATCCTCTAAGAATAAGGGGCAACCACCAAACATGTGTGTTGGACAAATGAAGTCAAAGACCCTGAGTTTAATCATCCAAGTTTAATCATTTCTTTTTTGGTATCATGTGTCATGTCCTGGGGACATCCACCAGCTGTTTGCATTCCAGACCCAGACCCAGATCTGCTGTCTGCCTCTGGCCAAGGCCCTGGACGTCTCTGGGCCTCAGCTCCCTCCCCTGTAAACAGCAGGGGCTGACCCCACCAAGGTTCCCTTTGCTGTCCCAGTGGGTATCAGTTCAAGTCCCAGCTGCTGCACTTCTGATCCGGCTTCCTGCTAGTGTGCACCCTGGGATGCTTGGGACCCTACCACCCTCATGCAAGACCCGGATGGAGCTCCAGACTCCTGGCTGGCTTGTAGCCATTTGGGGAGTGAACCAGCGGGTGGAAGATCTGTCTCTCCTTCTTTGTAATTCCCTTTCAAATAAATAAAATAAATTTTAAGAAAAAAAAAAAAAGAACAGGCTCCGTCTTGCCCTCTCTGTAACGGCCTCTCAAATAAATGAATACAATCTTAAAAGAGAAAAGAAAGGGGGGGGGGGGGGGAAGGCTCTTAGACTTGCCAGAGACGCCTTCCCAGGGGCAGATTCCAGGCCTGCTTCCACCTCCCAGGGTAGGGGCAGGAGCCTGGATTTTGATGCGGATCCCGGGGAACTGTGACGCCCAGGACCAGTGAGAAACCCAGCATTTGGTGATCCAGCTTCTTCCTCTGGAACGACGGAGCCTGCGAGCCGGGGACGGACTTCTCCGACACGCGAATGCCATCTTCATTTTCAGAGCCGTCCAGGAGCAGGCTGAGGACCCAGGGCGCCGGCTACCGGGGGACAGACCTGCACCCCCTACCCTCGCGCCTGGAGCGGTGCGCCCCGCCCAGGCTTCCTCCGGCCAGCCTGAGCCTGAAGGCACCGGCGGATCTGTTTTTGTTTGTTTGTTTGTTCTTCGCGCGGAGGGGCTCTGTTTCTGGCGGGGCTCTCGGCGCGCAGGCTGCTAAGCCCTCGGAGGCTCCTGGCTCCCGGGAAGGGAGCAGTGGCCCAGCGCGCCGCCGGGACGAGGCCTTTGTAGTGTGGGCTCGCTGTTTGTGTTTCGGGCCCTGAGAAGCGAAGGCTTGCTCCTAATTAAAGGCGTAAATGCCTTAATCCCTGGCCTGAGGGCTTCCCATAGCGCGCATTAGCCGAATTAGGAAGGAAATGGATTGTAATCCCTTTAATATAAGCCTGGAGGAACTCGGGGGCTTCTGGTTTGGGAGAAGAATTTCCTCCCGTGATTTAACAATATTAACACACTGCATTTGCATGGACAGAACCTGGGGCCCCAGCTTCCCCACAGCTCCAGTGCGCGCAGCCCGGAGAGGCTCTCAGAAGGCCCTGGGGACATCCCCGCACCACGCGCGCCCACAGCCTAAGGTGCCCAGTGATCACCAGTTCGTGTTTTGCTCCTTTGGTTTTCCCATCTCTCCCTGTGACTGTAATGGAGGCTAACCATTTTCTGAACACGGAAACGCAGGGCTGAGAGGCGGGTATCCTCACCGAGAGGCCCTGGGGAATCTATCTTCCTTACTTAAGCAACACCATTGCACCCGAACCGAGCTTCGAGAAGCAGACTCATCTTGATTTATACAATGCAATCGCGTTTATCTTACCCTCCACAATTGAAACCCAAAACTGCATGTGATTGAAACTCCGCAAACAGATGATCTATGTTTCATCTCTTACAAAGGTAGAAAAAGATTCTTCCTTGCATGCTGCTGAAACAGACAGGAATCCTGGAGAAGTTACCAGTGTGTTGTGCTTCAGAAAAGTGATGCATCTCACACTGCAAAAACTTAAAAACTGGTCCACGGTGACATTTTGCAAGATTTCATTGTGAATGAAGCTTAGTCAGGTGGAGGAAGATTTGTCTGCATTACCCAGAATTTCAGTTTCTTTGTTTTTTTTTTTTTTTTTTTTTTTTTTTTTTTTTTTTTAAGATTTATTTGAAATGCAGAGTTAGAGAGATTTTCCACTCATTGATTCACTCCCCACATGGCTACAATGGTCCAAGCCAAACCCAGGAGCTGAGAACAAACTCCATCAGGGTTTCCCACCTGGGAAGGAGGGGCTCCAGCATTTGGGCCATCTTTGCTACCAGGGAGCTGGATCAGAAGCAGAGAAGCAGGGCCAAGAACGGGTGCTCTGATACAGATTGTCAGTGTCACACGCAGCAGCTTGCCCTGTTGTGTGCCGCAAGCCAGCCCCCAGCATTTCAGTTTTCAATAAAGAAAGGAAAAAGTCGAGGCTCCTGGGAATGCAGTTACTTGTGCCAAGCTGAGTGCCCAGCCTGTTTTGCAAGTTGTTGCATTAATGTTGCTGTTCTTGGACGCCTTTTTCACTTTTATTAAATTCACAGGCGCTCCTTAAATCTCTACATTTGACAGTGCACTGAGTAAGATCCAGGTTTGTTGCCTCAAGAATCTCACATCTGGGAGCTGGTGCTGTGGCGCAGCAGGCTAAGTCACTGTCTGTAGTGCCGGCATCCCATATGGGCTCCAGTTTGAGTCCCAGCTGCTCCAATTCTGATCCAGCTTCCTGCTATGGCCTGGGATAAGCAGCAGAAGATAGCCCAAGTCCTTGGGCCCCTGCACCCTGTGGTAGACCCAGAAGAACTCCTGGTTCCTGGCTTCAGTCTGGCCAAGCCCTGGCCATTGCAGCCATCTGGAGAGTGAATCAGTGGATGGAAGATTTCTGTCTGTCTCTGTAACACTTTAAAATAAATAAATAGGGTGACGGAAGCCCAGCAGGTTGAGCCTCCCCTTTAAAAAATTAAATAAATAATTTTTATTTTTAAGGACTCTGACATTTGGTATGAGAAATAATAACTTTAGCTCTCCTATGAAATTGTTAGAACTGTTTCAGCTGTATAATACAGACATTCAACTGAAATTAAGTTAGCAAAAAAGCAATTGAGTTACCAATAAAATAATATTGGCTCACATGAACTGCATAGTGTAAATATTGGTCAAACTTTAGACATGGTTGTATCCAGGGGCCCAGTGGTCAAGTGGTGTTGTCACTCTTATCTCTGGGATCTTTTTATTTAAAGTATTTAAAATTTTTTATTTAAAATATTTATTTTATGATTTCTTTATTCGAAAGGCAGAGTGATAGAGAGAAGGGAGACAGAGAGAGAGAGAGAATTTTCCTTCTGCTGGTTCACTCCCCAAATGGCCATAGCAGCTGGAGCTGGGCCAGGCCTGAGCCAGGAGCCAGAAACATTGTCGGGATCTCCCACGTGGGTGGCAGGGGCCCAAGCACTTGGATCATCTGCACCCTCCCAGGATGCATCAGCAGGAAGCTGGATGGGAAGTGGAGCAGCCAGGACTCAAATCAGGCACTCTGATGTGGGATATAGTCATCCCAAGAGGTGGCCTCACCTGCTGTAGCACAGCACCCTCCCCAGTCTGCTGAACTTTCTGTTCACTGTGCTGATTTCGCTCTTTCTCAGTACAGGTCTCCCAAGTGGGTGGCAGGGACCCGAGTACTTGAGCTGACACCTGCTGCGTTCCACGGTCTGCATTAGCAGGAAGCTGGAATCAGAGCAGAGCTAGGACTTGAACCCAGGCACTCCCATAGGGCATATGGCATCCGAAGCAGTGTCTCAAGTGCTAGGCCCAACACCTGGCCCATTTCTCGCTTTTTAAGGCTGCACAATGTTTCGTTGTGTGTATCTGCACACTTGCATTATCCATGCATCTGCTGCTTTTGTTTTGCTTCCACCTTTTGGCCATTGTGAAGACTGCTACTATGAATGCTGGCATGCATGTATCGATTTGTGTACCTATTTTAATCCATTTGATTATAATCGATGATTTCTGGATGATATGCTAATTCTCTCCAACTTTTTCAGAAAATACTAAACTGTTTTCCTTTTCTTTTCTTTCTTTCTTTCTTTCTTTCTTTCTTTTTTTTTCTTTTCTTTCTTTTTTTTTTTTTTTTTGACAGGCAGAATTAGACAGTGAGAGAGAGAGACAGAGAGAAAGATCTTTCTTTTCCGTTGGTTCACCCCCCAAGTGGCTGCTATGGCTGGCGTGCTATGCCGATCCGAAGCCAGGAGCCAGGTGCTTCCTCCTGGTCTCCCATGCAGGTGCAGGGCCCAAGCACTTGGACCATCCTCCACTGCCTTCCCGGGCCACAGCAGAGAGCTGGACTGGAAGAGGAGCAACCGGGACAGAATCTGGTGCCCCAACTGGGACTAGAACCCGGTGTGCCGGCGCCGCAGGCAGAGGATTAGCCATGTGAACCATGGCGCCGGCCTAAACTGTTTTCTACAGAAGCTAAACTATTTTGAATTACCACCAGCAGGGCCAGTGCTGTGGTATAGCAAGTTAAGCCTCCGCCTGCAGAGCAGGCATTCCATATGGGCACCAGTTCAAGTCCTGACTGCTCCACTTCTGATCCAGCTCCCTAGTAATGCACCTGGAAAAGCAGCGGAATGTGGTCCAAGTCCTTGGACCCCTGTACACTTGTGGGAGACTGGGAAGAAGCTCCTGGCTTCAGCCTGATCCAGCCCTGGCTTTGCGGCCATTTGAGGAGTAAACCAGCAGATGGAAGATGTCTCTCTCTGCATCTCTGCTGTTCAAATAAATAAATATACATTTTTCTAAATTACCATCAGCAATGTGCAAGTTTTTTTTTTTTTAAAGATTTATTTATTTATTTGAAAGACTGGACGACAAGGGGAGAGAGACAGAGAGAGAGAATCTTCCATCTGCTGATTCACTCCCCAAATGGCTGCAATGGCTAAGGCCGGACCAGGCCAAAACTAAGATCCTAGAACACCATCTAGGTTTTCCATGTGGGTGGCAGGGACCCAAGTATCTGGGATATTTTCCTTTGCTTTCCTACCAGAGAGCTGGATCAAAAGTGGAGCAGCCAGGATTCGAACCGCTGGTCCGATATGGGATGCCTGTGTGGCAAGCGGCAGCTTAACCTGCTGTGCACAATGCTTGCTCCACGTGCAAGGGTTTTTAGTTCTCCACATCGTCACCACCTCTTGTTACTTTCCAATTTTTGATAATCTCAGCCCTGATGCACATGAAAGAGGGTGGGATTTTGACAAACAGAATGAGCCAGGCTCACAAGCAGCTGAGTCCTGGAGGGGTTGTGGTTCAAGATGGATTTAGTCACACCCTGGTCCTGTTTACCTCCCTCTCCCGGAAATAGACAGAGTCCATGAGTTTCGGAAAGTATCTACCCCTGGTGCCATCCAGCGCTGCCAGAGGTCCTGGGCTGGAACCAGGGGCAGGGGAACTGACACTCAGGTGGGCTGAGCAGCCACTCACATCACAATGCCCAGGGCCTGTGACCAAACTGTCACTCCTACCACACAGACCAGGGCTCATCTCAAAGCCAGGTGTGGTGGGGGCTGCTGGACTCCATGCCACAGGGGCACCTGGAGTTGGAAGGGCAGGAGTACCGTCACGCCTCGGCAGAGGACAGGGTAGGTTCTGTCTGCCTGCAACCGCTCCCCAGCCGGGGAGAGAAGCTGTGTGGGCACAGAGAGGGCACAGGGGCTGGCTGAGGTCTGACCGCCCCCTTGCTGGGCCATGGCCGGCTGGACAGGGTGGAAAGGTCTCCTGGGGGATGAAACAGTGTCCTCATCGGCAGGAACTGGCAACTACTGTAAACCTGCCTGAGTCCTGCTCTAGCCCTTTTGTCCCAGGACGACCCCAGTCCACCAGCTCATCTGTCCCTGGGGCCACCACCAAGCCCTGATTGATGGAGTCGTGTGCCTGATGGGAACAGTAGGTTCAGAGGACCAGGACAGCTGTGCTGGGTTGGCACACTGTGGGGTTAGTGGCTACTTCTACCCATAGCAGTGCAGGGCTGACCACCTTGTCTGTCTAGGTCCTTTGCCATGGCTGGTGTGGTGTACCCTGGACAGGTGAGTGATGTGGGTTTCTTTCCTCTGTCCCCACCTTAGCAAGCAGCCACAGGGAGGGCTGTGCTCTTTGGGGCTCCCTCTGGTCATCATTCTGGGATGATGTTTTTTTGGCAATAGACAAAAGTTAATTTGTTTTCATTTACTTGAAAGGCAGAGAAAGAGAGAGAGAGGTAGAAACAGACTGACCTCACCTTCTGCCTGATTAGCTGATTAGCTGGATCAGAAGCAGAGTAGCTGAAACTTGAACCAGGTGCTTCAATATGTAGGAGATGAGGGCACCCCACGCAGCGGCTTACCTGCTGTGCCACACTCCCATCTGTTTACAGTTTCCCAGGGGCTTGTTTATTCCTTCAGCAGGCACTCATTAGGCACCTGTTGTATAGCCAGCACTGACCTGGGCTCTGGGGCTTTGGAGGCGCCTAAGATGTTTCTGATCTGGTGTGCTTGCTTCAAGACCATTACAGCACATCCCGATAAGTGCTGCTAATGTGCTGGGAAAGTAGAGGGCAAAGGGTTTACCTCTTGGGAGGTGGAGGAGAATTGAAGAGTGGGAGAGAAGTTTTTAGGGAAATGACATTTAATCCGGGTCTTGGAGGACGTGGAGGAGTCTGCTGTTGGGTGAGAAATGCAGCTCGTGTTTCCAGCAGGAGGAAGATGAGTGCAGGGACGTGTGGCCAGCAGAAAGAAGGGAGGCTGGAGGACAGAGGACATGTGGGGTGGGAGGGCGGGAGGCGATCAGCGGGCAGAAGTCAGACCGAGGTCAACCCCTGTCCTGCAAATAAGAAGACGCCATTGACTGGCTTCAAGTGGAAGAATGGCGAGACAGGGTCTCTTGTTCTGTGTTCTCCCTTGTCCTTCAGGCCCCTGTGGATTTAGACATATACCAAAGCTCTTACATGGTCGACTACAAACCCTACGGGAAGCATAAATACTCCAGGGTCACGCCGCAAGAGGTAGGAGGGCACCCACATCCTCTGTTCAGTTGTCCACTGAAATCATCTCCAATTCAGTTTAATTATGGATGTGGATGTTGGGGCCATTTATTAATGACAGCATCCATTGCCAGGATGTTAAAGGTGTGTGTTTGTTTTTAAAGATTTATTCATTTAATTGAAAGGAAGAATGACACACAGAGGTAGAGACACAGAGAAATACATCTTCCATTTGCTGTTTCACTCCCCAAATGGATACAACAGCCAGGGATGGGCCAGGCCAAAGCAAGGAGCCAGGAGCTCCATCAAGTCTTCCACCTAGAAGGCAGGGGCCCAAGGGCTTGGGCTGTCATCCATTGCCTTTCCAAGTGTAACAGAAGGACGGTGGGTAGGAAGCAGAGCAGCAGAGATAGAACTGGCACTCCCAAATGCAATGCTGGCATCACATCAGTGGTTTAATCTGCTATGCCGCAATGCCAGCCCCATTAGAGGTCTTCTATGTGTGCATGCGTGTATGTGTGTGCATGTGTTAAAGTGTATTCCTAGGTAAGGCGTTGTGGTGTAGCAGATTAAGCCGCAGCTTGGGACATCTACGTGCTGTGTTGGAGTGCCTGGCTCCAGACCCGGCTGCTGCATGCTCCCAGTCCAGCTTCCTGCTAATGTGCCTCTGAGGCAGCTCAAGTGCTTGGGTCTCTACCACGATGGTGTTCCTGGCTCCTGGCTTTGGCCTGGCCCAGCTCTGGCTGTTGTGGTCTTTGTGGAGTGAACCAACAGGTGAAATTCTCTCTCTCCCTCTGTCTCTGTTACTCCACCTTTCAAATAAATAAATAAATACATAATAATTTTTAGAAAATGCACATAATAATAAAAAGTACATAAATATAAGTCATGGATAAAACAGATGGTAAAAGAAATACACATTTACAATTCGAGCAACACAGATTGAGCAAATACAGAAGTATGCCTTATTAGTTGACACGGTACCCAGCACATTAACCCTCCTGCGTAAGGCTCAGACTCACTCCTCCCCTCCCTTCCAGAGGCAGCAGTATTCTGAGTTTTAGGTCAATCATTCCCTTCTGTGTGTTTTACTAACAAATAGTTTTACCTTGTTTGCACATATCCTTTTAAGCAAATTACTTATTTTTGCTTTTGAACTTCATCATATACTAGATCACATACTGTTTGTACCCTTGCATGACTTTTGCTAAACGTGATGGTGTGTGTTTTACTTTCTGATGTGTAGTGTTATGCTGCATGAATTTGCCATGATATATTTGTCCCTTCCATTGAGGGACATTTGGGTTATTTACTTTTCTCCTATTCTCCCGCTAGCAAATGCTGCAGTGACGATGAGATACATCCCAGTGTGCAAGAGTTTATCGAACCCAGGGGTGGAGTTGCTCGTTGTAGGGAATTTGAAATCATTGTTTCCCAAAACGGTTGCACCAACTTATGTTATCACCAGCCATGGAAGGCCACTCTATTGCTGCGCAATCCTTGCTGTTAAGCCAGACTTAAAAACTTTGCCAGTTTGGTGGGTGTTATACCATGCCTTCTTGTGTTCATAAATCTCATTTCATTATTGAAGATGGTGGACATCTTTTCCTTTGCAGAGATTTTTTTTATTCTGTGAGATGTCTGTTCATATCTTTTGCCCCTCTTTATTTTTGTGCTACTTCTTTTATTCTTACTAGTTTGTAGGAGTTCTTTAAAAATTCTGGACATCTTTTGTTTCTCAGTTATGTGAGGGCATGGAAAACATGCAGTATCATGAAATTGCATAAGGACTTCAAAAAGTTTTTGCACCAAATTAAACTTTAAAAAAATTTTTTTTTGACAGTGAGAGAGAGAGAGACAGAGAGAAAGGTCTTCCTTCCGTTGGTTCACCCCTCAAATGGCCACCATGGCCAGAGCTACGCTGATCCAAAGCCAGCAGCCAGGTGCTTCCTCCTGGTCTCCCATGCGGGTGCAGGGCCAAAGCACTTGGGCCATCCTCCACTGCCCTCTGGGGCCACAGCAGGGAGCTGGACTGGAAGAGGAGCAACTGGGACAGAACTGGCGCCCCAGCCGGGACTAGAATCTGGAGTACCGGTGCCACAGGCGGAGGATTAGCCTAGTGAGCCGTGGCGCCGGCCCCAAATTAAACTTTTAATTCCCTTTTACCGCCAATTTTTTTGAAGTCCCTCATACACGTAATAGAACACTTTCCAGTTTGTGATCTGTCTTTGACCTCTGTATATCCATCAATATAGTTTCTTCTTTTTTAAAAAAAATTATTTATCTGAAAGGCAAGAATGTTGGGGGTTGGGGTGGACCTTCCACCCACTGGTTCACTCCTGAAATGGTCTCAACAAATGGGGCTATATGCCAGGCTGAAGCCAGGAGCCCACATGTCCATCTGGGTCTCTCACATGGGTGACAGAGCCCAAGCACTTAAGCCATCTTCTTCTGCTTTCCCAGGTGCCTTAGCAGGGAGGTGGATTAGAAGTGTGGTAGCTGGGACATGAACCGACACTCTGATATGGGATGCCAGCATTGCAGGCGGTGGCTTCATCCTCTGCACCACAATGCCAGCCCCTATTTCTTCATTCTTTAAAGGCTTAGTTATTTACTTACTTATTTATTTATTTGGAAGGCAGAGTGGCAGTGGGAGGTAAGGGGGTGGAAGAGAGAGAAAGAGAGAGAGAGAGAGAGAGAGAGAGAGAGAGGGAGAAGAGATTCCACCTGTTGGTACATTCCCCAAATGTGTAGAACAGCATTATTTAAAGATTTATTTGTTTATTTGAAAGTCAGAGTTTCACACAGAGAGAAGGAGAGTTTCCTCTGGAGATGAGAATTGAGAGAGGAGAGCGGGAAAGAGACTTAGCCTTTCACTATAGGCCCTTCTGCAGTATTTCAGCATTTGTCTGCTCATATCACCACCCAGAAACTAATTTAAATCGGTAAATACGAAGCGAAGTGTGCTCAGCGCGGTGCTCCCGGGGGAAGCTGCGTCCTCTTCCACGGCTCAGCCTCATCCACGTGTGCTTTGTCTCCCCAGCAGGTGAAGCTTGACTCCCAGCTGCGGGACAGAGAGTTCTACAGGCCCGCCCCCAGCCCCAACCCCAAGCTGTCTGGTGGATACGCTGCCTTCAAAAGACCCCACATGACTGCCAGAGACCTGGGACTCCCTGGCTTCTTCCCATCACAGGGCCCCGTGGCCACAGTGGAGCACGAGGACAGGTTCACCAGCACCTGCCCTCACACCTACCCGGCTTCCCACGCCCTGTACCTGGCCCAGGGTGATCCCAACCGGCTTCACCAGAGCGCAGACTTTCCTTGCCTCCTGGAGCCCGAGCGCCAGCCTGCTTCAGAGGAGGGCACAGGCTACCTCCTCCTGCCCGGCTGCTCCTGCCCTCATCATCACCCAGCAGTCAAGGTGCCTGTCTTGTACCGGTGGGGGCCCTTGATGCCGTTTTACCAGTAGGGAGGCCGTGAACACCTTCCAAGGTCACGTGGAAATCCATGCCCACCGCTCTGTCCCTGGAGCACAGAGAAGGAGACTGATAATAAAGCCGGGGAGATGCTCAACAGCACCGGGCGGTCGTGGTTCTGCTCTCCCTGCCGGCTCACGGCATCCTCCCCACTGCACAGGGGCAGGGAAAAGTCACCGCGTGTGGAGGACTTCACCGCTTTAGGCATTTACTTACATTTTCCAAAAAGGTTTATTTATTTACTTGAAAGTCAGAGTTACACAGAGAGAGAAGGGAAGGCAGAGAGAGAGAGAGAGGTCTTCCATCCCCTGGTTCACTCCCCATTTGGCCACAACAGCCGGAGCTGTGCCAATCCGAAGCCAGGAGCCAGGAGCTTCTTCCGGGTCTCCCACACGGGTGCAGGGGGCCCAAGGACTTGGGCCATCTTCTTCTGCTTTCCCAGGCCATAGCAGAGAGCTGGATCGGAAGAGGAGCAGCCAGGACTCAAACTAGTGCCCATATGGGATGCCGGCACTGCAGGTGGCAGCTTTACCTGCTACACCACAGCGCCGGCCCCTAGGCATTTACTTACTGCTCTGGCTCAAATGTCCCCCAAAGTTCACATGAGAGAAGAGGAGGGCTTGTTGTAAGCCAGAGATGGAAAGAAGAGATTGGTAAGAGAGGCATCTCAGTGTACCGTACAGAGGAGCTAGTAAAACCTTAACTGCTCGTGGGATGACAAGGAAATGGTAAGAGATTGGAAGTGGTTCCCAGGTCTCTGACTTGGACAGAGTAACTGTAGGCACAGGCTTCACATGTGGGTGCAGCAGATATGGAGAAGCAGGACGCAGACCCGCTGACCTCCTCACCAACGCAGAGTTCTCTGGATGGGAGCCTCTCAACTGTTCTCATAATCTGCATCCCTGCAGCTCTTCCTTATGTGTGCTTCTCACCTGCGGACGTAGCTCGCGCAGCAATGAAAGAAATCATGAATTGTAATAAACAGACAACAGTTCAGTGAACAATCCTTGAACAGCAGATTCAGATGCAGGAGAGAGGAGATGATTACAGAAGTCCTGGTAAATTAGAAAACCAGTCACTGGATTTGCAGAGAGGTAGAACATTTATGTCAGGATGACCGAGAGGAGCAGTTGCCTGCAACCTGAGAAGCTTGACCCGAGCACCTGGTGGGGCAGTGGGAGCCCAGCAAGAAGGTTCATCTCTGAGTAAGACACCATGCCCTCGTTGAGGGGTATGGAAGGAAGAAGGCTCTGATGGAGGGTTTGGAGGATGCAGTGGTTTCAGTGTGCCCCCCAAAAGCTCATATGCTGGAAACTTAACCTGCAAATCCACATGTGAATGGCATTTGAAGGTGAGGCCTTTGGGAGGTGATTGGGGTTAGATGAGGTCGTGAAGATGGGACCCCCAGCATGTCATCAGCGGCTGTCACAGCACAGCAAGAGACACCCGAGCCAGCACGCTTGCTCCATGTCCTCCATGGTTCGCCCTCCCCACGTCACTGTGGGAAATATTTGGTTCATTTTCAAAGTAAGATGTTTAGCTATGAGTAGACAACTAGCTAGTGTAACAGCTGGTTACCTGCGCCTGTAAGGCCTTAGGCAAACAGAATACTAGTGGCCAAAGTAGCTGAAGCAAATGCCAGGAAGACTGTAACCTTGCAGTTACTTAGCCAGTGAGGAGCAGGGAGAGGAACCCGCAGGCTTGCAGTAACCATCCCGGGTGTGCTGGCCTACCCGGCACCCGGCACCCAGTCTCGCAGGATCGTTACTAAAGCCTTGCTGTCCCTGCACTTCCTGAGTCTGCGTCCATCCTTCGAGTGGATGGTGAGGCCGTTTCTCACATCATGATACAGCCAGAAGGCCTTTACCAGATGCCAGCAGACACCAGGGACTTGCTCTTCCCAGCCTCCAGAGCCAGGCGTCAGAGACTTCTATTGTTGATAAACCATCCACACGAGGGCACAGTGAGAGGACAGTCATCGCCAAGCCAGGAAAACTCCCTTCGCCAGATCAAGCTGCACCTTGATCCAGAACTTTCCAGCCTCCAATTGGTGAGAAAGTTGCTGTTACTGTGGCCCCCGAGCCTGGGGTATTTGTTACGCCAGCCAAGCCGTGGCTGATTGAGTTGTTGACACTATTCAGTTAGCAGAGAGCAGGAAACATCCGGGGCAGTATAGGCTCACTCCCTGTTAGGGACACGATGCTGACATTCTCCACTTCCAGGCGCGTCCCCTTGTTCAGGGCTCAGCCTCATGTCCACACTAAACCACTGACAAGGCTGGAAAACATCGTCTTTATTCTGGTGGTCATAGGACCAGTTGAAAATGAGGGGGTTGTCAGTGTGCCAGGAGAGGAGAGTGCGTGGAGGTGACAGATTACCTTTCCCTTTGGTATCTCATGGAGCATCGGTGCTTTCCCTAGGGAATTCTGTCAAAGGCCAGATTCTTGTCCAGCAAGTCTGGGGTGAGGGTGACTCTGCACGCCTCCAGGGAAGGCCTGAGGAGCTGGACCACAGCCGCCCTTGACCATCAAGGCTGTGCATATGCATAGCACTCTTCGCCTTCATTTTCTCCCCACAGCGCATTGCATAGAGGTCAAAGTATTATTTTTAAAGATTTATTTTATTTATTTGAAAGGGTTACAGAGAAAGGGAGGGACGGAGGGGAAGAGAGAGAGAGAGAGAGAGAGAGAGAATATCTTCCAATCACCGGTTCACTCCCCAAATGGCCACAACAACTGGGGCTGGGCCAGGCTGAAGTCAGGAGCCAGGTCCTTCATCTGGGGTCTCTCACATGAGTGCAGGGGCCCAACCACTTGTGCCATCTTCTGCTGCTGTTCCAGGTGCATTAGCAGGGAGCTGGATTGGAAGTGGAGCAGCTGGGACTTGGACCAGCACCTGTATGGGATGCTGGCTTGGCAGGTTAACCTGTTATATCGTAACACTGGCCCTGATCAAAGTATTCCTTCATGGCTGCTTGATAGTCCACTGAAATGGTTGATACCGATTTATTCAACTGTTTCCTTATTAGTAGATAACAAATAATATGGTAATAACTATTCATGAACATATATTCTTGAATATTGATGCCTTTTTAAAGATTTTTAAAATTTATTTGAAAGGTAGAGTTACAGAGAGAGTGAGAGAGACAGAGAGAAAAAAATATCTTCCATATGCTGGTTCACTCCCCAAATGGCTACAAATTGTTGGGGCTAGGCCAGCCCAAAGCCAAGAGCCAGGAAGTCCAGCTGGGTCTCCCATGTGGGTGGCAGGGGCCCAAGTATGTGGACCATTATTTGTTGCTTCCCCAGCTGCATCAGCAGAGAGTTGGATCAGAAATGGAGCAGCTGGGAGTTGAACCAGCGCCCATATGGGGTGCTGGTGTCCCAAGTGGTGGTTGATCCTGCTGTGCCACAACATGGGCCCCTCGATGCCTTTATTTCCACAAGATGGAATCTTCTAAGTGGGAATGCTGGGGCAAACAGTAGGGGTGTTTAGTGCTGAAAGATACCAGCAGAATTTGTTCCTAAGGGAAAGATAGTCTCCATCCCGCAAATATGCAAAACTCTTTCTTAGTGATCAATATTTAATTTTTTCCAGTTTGATGGTTGGAAAATGGTATCTTGTCATGGTTTCAGTTTACAATTACTTGGCTACTCACAAGATGTAGAATCTTTGTTATTTCTTTGTTCAGGGGGTTTCCTTTTTCCCTTGAGTTATCTTTTGCTCATCAATTTATGGGGCTCTTTGCCCACTGGTGACATTTAGCATAAACTGAAAATATGTTCTCTCTTTAAAGTATGCAATGTAAAATATGCAAAGTGAACACATTTTCATAATACAATATTAATAACACCTTCATTAGCAAATGTTGCAGAGTAAGAATGGTGTGAAGGGGCTGGCGCTGTGGCGTAGTGGTTATAGATACCTGCAAGAGTGTCGGCAATGTTCAGAGAAAAGGATGTAGTTAGTAGGAGGAGGAGCTGGTTCTCACCAGAGTGGCGTGGCTGGGCCAGATTTGGGTAAAAAAGGGAGGTTCTTCATTTAACTTGATTTCGGGGCTGGCACTGTGATGCAGTGTTTTAAGCCGCCACCTGTGATGCTTGCTTCTCATATGGGTGCAAGTTCAAGACCTGGCTGTTCTATTTCCAATCCAGCTCCCAGCTAATGTGCCTAGGAGAGCAGTGAGGATGGCTCAAGTCCTTGGGCCCCTGCAACCATTTGGAAGGTTCAGTTGAAGCTCTAGGCTTCTGGCTTCAGCCTGGCCCAGCCCTGGCCATTGCAGCCACTTGGGGAGTGAATCACCTCTCCCTTTCCCTCCTCCCCCCCCTCCCTCTCCCTCTTCCTCTTCCTCTCTCTGTAATTCTCAAATAAAAGACTGGTGTGAAGAAGAAAAGGAGACCACCACTGCTCAGAGAGCAATCACTACTGTTACATTTTGATGCCAGAGTGGCAGAATAATGGTTAAATTATTGGGCAAAGGAGTCTGACAAAGCTGTTGCACCCATGCCTGAGTTTACTGGTCACTAGAGAGAAATATCCTGGAATGTTACTTAATCTCTCTGAACAGAAACTCCCTCATCCATAGGAAGCATTAATAATGCTTTTGAGTGAGCACTGACATACAGGCCCTGAGATAGAGAGAGCACTCAGTGAGACCTTTGAAACACACACAGCCATGTGCTGCATAATGACATTTGGGTCTACGACACGGGTCCTGTACGTTTATGAGGGAGCTGGAAGAGTCTTGTCACTTCGTGACGTCACAGCCCTGATAACACAACACATCACTCATGTGCTGTGGTAATGCTGGTGTGAACAGATCTACTACTGCCAGTCACATAAAAGCAAAGCACATAAAATTATGTCCTGGGCTGATTACTTGATAATGGTAATAAAAACTGTGTTACTCCTTTGTGTATTTGCTAGACTCTATTTTTGTTGTTATTTTACAGTGTACTCCTTCTACTTATAAAAAATTCACAGTAAAGCCGAGTGCTGGGCTAGGCTGGCGGCAGCCTCACAATGCTCCTGTCTCTTGGTTTTCTCAGTTGCATCAAGAGGCCACATGGAGGGGCCGGCGCTGTGGTGCTCTAGGCAAAGCT